GCCATCCTGGCAGAACATAACCCGTGTGCCACTTCCCCTTTCCCTCTTGCCCCCTGTTCCCTAGATTCAGCATAAAGCCCAGGGAAAACAATGCCTGCTTGCTCCCCACCTGCCATGTCCTGAATTAGGAGGAGACCAGGTGACAGGCTGCAGGCCAGGTCTTAAGAGAACAGAGGACACTATTACTCATGCCTGCTTCCTGCAGAGTTTGCTCTTGCCCTCCTGGTTCCCCTGCAAAGCTTGGGAAACAAGTTTCACACTTTTCTCCCAGCCTCACTTCTCCCAGGTCTCTCCCCATGCACCTCCCCACCCTCCATGTTCTCTCTCCCTGTTTCATGGAAAAAATATATGCAGATAATGCATTCATTGGTCAGGTGGAGATGAAGGATCCATTTGCGAATGATCTCTCATTCTTAGTATTGGCAGAAAATGTGTGTGGGGGAGATGGATGTGCTGAGAGCCCTGTAGGAACTGCCATCCCTCTCTTTCCCCACTTCCCTTCCTACTCCAGGAGTGGGGAAGCTGCTGTTGGTACTTCAGTTGCCCCGGTCTCTTCTTCCTCCTTCCCTTCTGGGCCTCCTGCTCCTGTTCATTTGTCTTCTTTGCCCTTGACTTCTTTAATCTCATTTATCTCTTCCTCCTCCTCTTTTTCCTCAGCACCAGTTTCAGTGTTTATCCCCGACTGTGAGGAGGGAGCATCTAACTGTACATGCATATATAAATGAAAAATTTCATGTAGGGGGCGGGAAACCTGTGGCTTTTGGGATCTTTGTTCTTTCATATATGTTGTCCTCATAATGCTGTGATTCACTGCTTCCACTTTTTATTCCCTTTTCCCCCATAGCCAAGGCCGCAGGGTAAGAAAGTTTTCTTGGAACCTGTTTCCCTTTCCAGCCTCTGACTCCTGATGTGGCAGCCTCTGCCCCTTCATCTTCATCCAGCCTGGCTCCCCACCCCCCTCACACCCAGGCACGGCCAGGCACCTGTCTAGAACCTAGTGCCATGCTGTGAATTCACTCCCTGTCTTTCAGTGTGATTGGTGCCCCAGGGAGCCAGGTTGCTGAGGGAAGCTCATGTGGCACTCAGCCGATCCATTTTGTCGACAAAAAAAGAGAGGAGAAGCTGGCAGAAAGCAAAGGCTTTTGCTGCTGGGTGAGTGTAGCAGCTATTTATAGCACCCAAGCCTTTGCTTTTCCATTTGGCTGTGCTTTTTTAGCACAGTGCCCGTCCAGCAGGGCTGTTTTCTTTCATGGCTCCAGATGTCCTTAGGGAAAGTTTCTGTCTGCCTCTGAGAAGAGGTGGGTTGGGCAAGGGGGTAATAACATCTGAGAGTGGGTGCAAGCAGGGCTTTTGGTCCCACTCCAATCATGTCACAGGACCAATTTCTTGAGGTGGAACATGGAAGAGAGTGGTAGGAACAGGAAAAGAAAAGGTAAACACCATACTCCTAAGAAATGTTCCCCCATAATTAATTCAGTTAAGCCTCTATTGAGTAAATTGCCTAATGAAGTGTATTGGGTCTGAGTGATTAGCACACAAACCTTTTATAAGGGTCTGGGCTAATACTGACATGTACTGAATTTTTCTAAGGCTTTTTTGGTCTTCTTTCATTTCGTTTTTGTTTCTGCCTTTTTTAGATTATTCGCCCATTTGGTTTAAGTTCTCTTGACTTCCACTCTAGTTTACTGACCAAATTTTTTTCACCACTTCAAGCAGAAACTCTGTACCCAGTAACTTTCCTGGTAACATGGAATCTACTTTCTATCTCTCTGAATTTGTATATTCTAGATATTTCATTTAAGTAGAATTATATAGCATCTGTCATTTTATGTCTAGCTCATTTCACTTGGCATAATGTTTGCAAGGCTCATTCATGTTGAAACATGGTCAGAATTTCATTCTGTTTATGGCTGAATACTATTCCATTGCATCTATATACCACATTAAAAAAACACATTCAACCCTGGCTGGTGTTGCTCAGTGGTTAAAGCATCATCCCATGCACCAGAGTGTTGTGGGTTCAATTCCCAGTCAAGGGCATGTACCTGGGTTGCAGGTTCAATCCCCACCCTGGTCAGGTCACATTTGAGAGGCAGCCAATTGATGTTTCTCTCTCACACTGATGATGTT